ACAGATGATTGCTGATGTTATGAATGAAAAGTTGGGAGGCGTCCGGGCTCGATATGGCGTATGCTGTCAGTGGCCCTGAAACCCAACAGAAGAAGAAGAAGAAAAGAAGTTGGATGTCCTGGCCCTAAGCGAAACAAAGCTGAAGGGGGTAGGGGAGTTTCGGTGGGGGGAAATAAATGGGATTAAATCTGGAGTATCTGAGAGAGTTAGAGCTAAGGAAGGGGTAGCAGTAATGTTGAAGGATCAGTTATGGAAGGAGAAAAGAGAATGTGAATGTGTAAATTCAAGGATTATGTGGATTAAAGTAAAGGTTGGATGCGAAATGTGGGTCTAATAACGTGTATGCACCTGGAGAGAGAGGAATGTAGAGGAGAGAGAGAGATTTTGGAGTTTTTAAGTGAATGTATAGGAACCTTTGAACCAAGTGAGAGAGTAATTGTGGTAGGGGCCCTGAATGCTAAAGTAGGAGAAACTTTTAGAGAGGGTGTGGTTAGGTAAGTTTGGGGTGCCAGGTGTAAATGATAATGGGAGCCCTTTGATTAAACTTTTGTATAGAAAGGGGTTTAGTTATAGGTAATACATATTTTAAGAAAAGAGGATAAATAAGTATACAAGATATGATTTTAGGGCAAAAATGACAGTTTGTTGGTTATGTATTAGTAGATAAAAGACTGTTGAGTAGACTTCAGGATGTACATGTTTATAGAGGGGCCACAGATATCTCAGATCACTTTTTAGTTGTAACTACACTGAGAGTAAAAGGTAGATAGATACAAGGAGAATAGAAGCATCAGGGAAGAGAGAGGTGAAGGTTTATAAACTAAGAGGAGGCAGTTAGGGTAAGATATAAACAGCTATTGGAGGATAGATGGGCTAATGAGAGCATAGGCAATGGGGTCGAAGAGGTATTGGGGTAGGTTTAAAAATGTAGTGTTAGTGTTCAGCAGAAGTTTGTGGTTACAGGAAAGTGGGTGCGGGAGGGAAGAGGAGCGATTGGTGGAATGATGATGTAAAGAGAGTAGTAAGGGAGAAAAAGTTAGCATATGAGAAGTTTTTACAAAGTAGAAGTGATGCAAGGAGGGAAGAGTATATGGAGAAAAAGAGAGAGGTTAAGAGAGTGGTGAAGTAATGTAAAAAGAGAGCAAATGAGAGAGTGGGTGAGATGTTATCAACAAATTTTGTTGAAAATAAGAAAAAGTTTTGGAGTGAGATTAAAAAGTTGAGGAAGCCTAGAGAACAAATGGATTTGTCAGTTAAAAATAGGAGAGGAGAGTTAGAGGTATTGGGAAGATGGAGGGAATATTTTGAGGAATTGTTAAATGTTGATGAAGATAGGGAAGCTCTGATTTCATGTATAGGGCAAGGAGGAATAACATCTTGTAGGAGTGAGGAAGAGTCAGTTGTGTGTGTGGGGGAAGTTCGTGAGGCAGTAGGTAAAATGAAAGGGGGTAAGGCAGCCGGGATTGATGGGATAAAGATAGAAATGTTAAAAGCAGGTGGGGATAAAGTTTTGGAGTGGTTGGTGCTATTATTTAATAAATGTATGGAAGAGGGTAAAGTACCTAGGGATTGGCAGAGAGCATGCATAGTTCCTTTGTATAAAGGCAAAGGGGACAAAAGAGAGTGCAAAAATTATAGGGGGATAAGTCTGTTGAGTATACCTGGTAAAGTGTATGGTAGAGTTATTATTGAAAGAATTAAGAGTAAGACGGAGAATAGGATTGCAGATGAACAAGGAGGCTTTAGGAAAGGTAGGGGGGGTGTGGACCAGGTGTTTACAGTGAAACATATAAGTGAACAGTATTTAGGTAAGGGTAAAGAGGTTTTTGTGGCATTTATGGATTTGGAAAAGGCATATGACAGGGTGGATAGGGGGGCAATGTGGCAGATGTTGCAGGTGTATGGTATAGGAGGTAGGTTACTGAAAGCAGGGAAGAGTTTTTACGAGGATAGTGAGGCTCAAGTTAGAGTATATAGGAAAGAGGGAGATTATTTCCCAGTAAAAGTAGGCCTTAGACAAGGATGTGTGATGTCACCGTGGTTAACATATTTATAGATGGGGTTGTAAGTGAAGTAAATGCGAGGGTCTTGGCAAGAGGCATGGAGTTAAAAGATAAAGAATCACACATAAAGTGGGAGTTGTCACAGTTGCTCTTTGCTGGTGACACTGTGCTCTTGGGAGATTCTGAAGAGAAGTTGCAGAGATTGGTGGATGAATTTGGTAGGGTATGCAAAAGAAGAAAATTGAAAGTGAATACAGGAAAGAGTAAGGTTATGAGGATAACAAAAATATTAGGTGATGAAAGATTGGATATCAGATTGGAGGGAGAGAGTATGGAGGAGGTGAATGTATTCAGATATTTGGGAGTGGACGTGTCAGCGGATGGGTCTATGAAAGATGAGGTGAATCATAGAATTGATGAGGGGAATAGGGTGAGCGGTGCACTTAGGAGTCTGTGGAGACAAAGAGCTTTGTCCTTGGAGGCAAAGAGGGGAATGTATGAGAGTATAGTTTTACCAACGCTCTTATATGGTTGTGAAGCATGGGTGATGAATGTTGCAGGGAGGAGAAGGCTGGAGGCAGTGGAGATGTCATGTCTGAGGGCAATGTGTGGCGTGAATATAATGCAGAGAATTCGTAGTATGGAAGTTAGGAGGAGGTGCAGGATTGCCAAAACCGTTGTCCAGAGGGCTGAGGGAGGGTTGTTGAGGTGGTTCGGACATGTAGAGAGAATGGAGCGAAACACAACGATTTCAAGAGTGTATCAGTCTGTACTGGAAGGAAGGCGGGGGTAGGGGTGGGCCTAGGAAAACTTGGAGGGAGGTGGTAAAGGAGGTTTTGTGTGCGAGGGGCTTGGATTTCCAGCGAGCATGCGTGAGCGTGTTTGATAGGAGTGAATGGAGACAAATGGTTTTTAATACTTGACGTGCTGTTGGAGTGTGAGCAAAGTAACATATATGAAGGGATTCAGGGAAACCGGCAGGCCAGACTTGAGTCCTGGAGATGGGAAGTACAGTGCCTGCACTCTGAAGGAGGGGTGTTAATGTTGTAGTTTAAAAACTGTAGTGTAAAGCACCCTTCTGGCAAGACAGTGATGGAGTGAATGATGGTGAAATTTTTTTCTTTTTCGGGCCACCCTGCCTTGGTGGGAATCAGCCAGTGTGCTAATAAAAAAAAAAAAGATTCTTTAAGGTGTAGTACCAGATCTACACAGCCATAATGGTGTACAGGAGTGAGAGATGTGGGAGTACTAAATAGAGACAAGGAAGCTTGCCATGGACACAGAACATTCATGGTCCATGATTATTTGACGATATCATGAATTTTGCTGTGTAGTAGGTTGGTAGACAGCAACCGCCCAGGGAGGTACTACCGTTCTGTCAAGTGAGTATAAAACGAAAGCCTATAGTTGTTTTACATGATGGTAGGATTGCTTGTGTCCTTTTTTCTGTCTCACGAACATGCAAGATTTTTTTTTTAAATTAAAATGCCGACTTTGTGGTCTATTTTTACAGCATTTATGGTTGTGTTCTCGTTTTCTTGGTCTCATTTGATAGAATGGAAAACATATTATAGAAATAGAGGTGATTTTGATTGGTTTTACTATGAAAAGAACCTTGAAATGGAGCTCAAAGTAGGGGAAATGTATGGTTTTTGCTGATGTTCAAAAGTAAACAAATGATGTCATTTTCCAATAAATGTCCAAGTTGCCATTCTAATATGCAGTCATGAATGGGTTGACATTATTTATACAGTAATTACAATATTGCAGTAGTCTGCATAACAGTAAATCTTGTATTTTTTGTTTGAATAAAAATTCAAAACAGAGAGCACGAGTAATATCAGAGGGGCCTGGAGACATGACTGATGAACAAAGAAAATGTTATTTTAGAGCCAGGAATGTCTGCATTGTTCATTCTGGACCCTGTTTTGAAATTGTCATATTTTTTTAATTTTCATGAAATTGGCCAAATTGCAAATTTCTGACCACGTTATTGGGTAGTTGAAATCGGTAAATGGGCAGTTTCTTGTACTCAGTCGATAGAAAAAATGGAGTTCTAAAGAAGTAGCTGTGAGTTTGATCGACTGGGACAATGGAATTAGCCGAAAATAGGGCTCAAAGTGGGTGAAATCGCCAATTCATAAATATCGCCGAGGTTGCTAACTTCGCGAGAGTGTGATTCTGTCAGTTTTCCATCAAATTTCATTCCTTTGGTGTCATTACAATTGGGGAAAGATTCTCTATCATTTCATAAGAAAATTTTTTTTTTTTTTTTAATTTTGCAACACCAGGAGACACCTCAGGATTTGGGGTTGCGACGGTCAAGGGGTTTAATGACTTTTTCACACTGTTATCAGTTACCAACCTAAAATACCTAACCATTATAGAAACACAAGTGAAGTGGGTAAATGAATGTAAATGGCATGGGAATGTGTAACTAGTATAATTATGGGTTACTACTCTTTGTACAGCACTGCATTTCATCTTATTTTTCAAAACTATGGCATGATGACTGGTAATTTTCCCATGCACTTTGGACTTTGGTTCAGTAATTCGTTGCATTTTATTGAAAACACAATCATTGGATGGACTGTACATTAAAACTGAGGTGTCAGATCAACCAGGCTATGTAGGCCTTCAGGCCTCTAGCACAAACAGCATGGTTGATCAGGCAGTCAGTGGCAAAGTCTGGCCACAAGTCAAGGTTACAGTAGTAGGAGAACCCTCAAAACTGTTCACAAGTACAGCACAGGTATGATTTCTCATGGCATTCCTATATGATGTCTATACTGGAAAATATTTCTTTCTCCCACATTAGCTAACCTGAGCCTCACTCTACTTGTGTAAGCACTCTTCAGTTTATACCAATTTTATTTATTCCAAGTTGTCTAGTATCTTACGTCCCAAGTTATATTTAGTTCTGTTAGTACCCTATGTGATCACTAACATTTCCTCGTTTCCTGTTTCTTATATGTTGTACCTTTCTCTCCATAAATACTGGTGCTGTATATGAATGATTTAATGTTTGTTTTACAGTATTACACCATTTATCACGAAGTTCAATTTCTCCTAAAGATAAAGCAATTGCATAACTTTATTCTTCTCTTTATTAACCAAGTCTTTGCTGTATTTCAGAGTTCAGATTCTGACTCGGACTCTGACTCTGATGAAAAAGAGGGCAACTTTTCCACATTGAGGAAACTGTTAATACAACCCAATGGAAGTACAAAGGAAGAAACAGGAGTTATTACAAAGCCCAGTAAGGAAAGTAAAAAGAAGCCCAAATTGGACACTGTGGATGAAATAATATCATGTGTAATTGAACACAGTTCTGTTAAAGATGATGTGAAGGATAAACAGATGGTACTCAAACATTTTGTTAGAAAGTAAGTTAACTGAATTTTGTTTTTAATTCCACTGTGTGGGTATGTTTACTCACCATATGTACTTGCCTGTATGTGTTGCAGGGGTTGAGTTTTAGCTCCTTTCTTGCCTTTCAGCTTTCCTCTTGCTAGATTTACATTCTCTCCTAGCCTTGTGGGCCTGTCGTACCTATTCTTAAAACTACGTATGGAGTCTGCCTCCACTTCAAGGTTATTCCACTTCCTGACCACTCAGAGACTGAAGAAGTACTTGATATCACTGTGACTCATCTGTCTCTAGAACTTCCAGCTTTTCTTCCCAAGTACCTGTTTTCTGCTTTTCAAATAGCCTGTTTCCTTCTGCCCTATCAATTCTGAGTATTTTGTACATTATCATGTCTTCCCTGGTTCTGTCCTCCAGGGTCATTAGACTGGATTCCTTTAGCCCCCTCCACAGAGCTTATACCTCTTAACTCTGGAACTAGTTTTGTTACATACATCTGCACTTTCTCCTGTGTTTTATGCTTTCTTAGGTTATTTGGTTGATGTAAGCCTCAAGTGTGTGTATGTTTGCATGCATACACAAATGATCGCACGTGCACACAAATGCACGTACATGTGCACACACACTATTAACAAGTGCCTTTGACAACCAGTAACTAACACAGCAGGCCAAGTAGTGAGTAATTACATTATTACTTCAGAGAAGTTAAGCAAGTGTGTGTCTCTCTGTCTGTCTGTCTTTTTTCAACACGTCGGCTGTCTCCCACTGAGGCATGGTAACCCAAAAAAGAAAAACACTCACCATCATTCACACATAATCACTGTTTTTGCACAGGCGTGCAGATATGACAGTTTGGATGTTACTTCAACAGCTAATATCCCAAACCCCTCCTATAAAGTGAAGGCATGGTACTTCTCACCTTCAGGACTCAAATTTGGCTAACCACTTTCCCTGAATCCCTTCACAAAGTATTACCCTGCTCATACTCCAACAGCTCGTTAAGTCCCAAAAACCATTCATCTCCACTTCTATCTGACACGCTCACATACGCCTGCTCATACTCCATACATATGTACATACATACATACATACATACACACACACACATGCACCTTGCTAATGTGGCGAGTTAGGTTCCATACCACCACCGTAAGGTGAATATTGCCTTAAAGAGAATCAGCCTTTTTTTTTTTTCACTTGCTAGTACATGTAAAGGCTTTAAACATTTTTACAATACCATTTATAAAGTGCACAGTAGTGCTAAACCTAAAAAAATAACTATTCATAAATGTTGTAAAAAGACTGAGCATGGGTAACAAAATGGCACTGGTCAGTTGATGTGCACATCAGGGAGTTCTCATTTCTTTTCTGATTTAACCATTGACTAATATGAAATAACTTTGTCACTTCTCTTTTTGAACCCTTGTGTGAGGGCTGTTTCATTGATTTGTTTACTCCACTGCCCACCAGCTACATTGATTTTTTTTTTCAGTATCATTGTGGCTTTGTGTAATTCCAAAAGGCCCTCGTTTCATCCCTAATTAAGAGTCTTATTCTTGTTTATACTGTCTATGTCCCAGTTTATTTCTTATTTTCATGATCACAAAGCATCAGGCTTGTAACATCTTGTACTTCCATGGCAGTCTAACTCTTGAATTTTTCTAAGTTCGTTCTCATCACTGGCACCAGTATGGATGCACTCTTCTGAACATTCGTATTTCAATTTGTGTTCTAAGTGAACATTCTGTACATGTGAATGCTTATGACTGAATAGGTCACACACATATATGGTGGAGATATTGAATGTGTCTGTCTTGGTTTGTTACTGCTGCTGTTTTGATTGCATTTCAAGGGGCATATATGGGGTAATGGTTTTGATTGTTTACAAGTCTTATCTCCTCTGCCTCTTGTTTATCTCTTTACTTTCCTTACTATTTTTTTTTTTACCAAGAAAATGCTCTCTTGTTCCTTTCTCAGGACTCTTTGCATTTGTGATATTCAGTTTCTCAACTTAGAAATTTTTGCTCCTCACAGCTCATTCTCTTGCATTGGTTTACCCATTGGCTAATGATTATGGATTTAATGGACTTTTTTTTTTCTGGATGTTATGCATCCAAAATCTGTTAAATAGGCATTTGTGAACTCGAGGGTTTTACTGTATATTCTCGGAACATTGTGTGGCCAAACACTGATTCTTGTGGGACTTCACAGGTAATCAACCATCCAGACCTTTTTATCTCATACAGAGATGGGAAGTACAGTGCCTGCACTCTGAAGGAGGGATGTTAATGTTACAGTTTAAAAACTGTAGTGTAAAGCACCCTTCTGGCAAGACTGATTGAGTGAATGATGGTGAAAGTTTTTCTTTTTCGGGCCACCCTGCCTTGGTGGGAATCGGCCAGTGTGATAATAAAAAAGATACAGTAACTCCTTTTCATTGTTCAAGTGCTGTACGTATTCCCATCTTCATGCTAATTATTAATTAAACTATCCCATGCTTGCTTCTTCAGTTTTCTTAGCAGTCTTTTATGTGATGTTATTGAGGCTTTCTTGTTGTCTAGGAATACACAATTAATCCATTTCACTTGTTCGATCACTTTCTTAGTCTAACATTTTTCTGAGGTTTTTATTGCATGATATTCTATTTCCAAATCTGTTTGTCTTTTGTAAAGAATTTAGTGTTTCTAAATATTCAGCAAATTTTTTCTTGCATCTATTCTAAGGAAGTTGTAATTTTTTTTTTTTTTTGGAGGGAGGGGGGGGGGGCATTGGTCTATAGTTCAGGACTTTTTTTTGTCTTAAATAAAGTTATTACATATTGCAATATGCCAGGGATAATTTTAAGAAGCAGGTTCCACCAACTTCATTTTGATAAGTCAAACCTACATTCACAATTTCTTTGCATAAATTTTGACTACTTCAGGGGATTCACAACACTAGTGTATTTTGAAATGTTTGTTTAAAATTGCCCTTTTAGCCATTCTTTTTTTCCCCATTGCATTCTTTATGGAATTCCTCATTTGTAATACTGTGATGAGAGTTGATTTTTGTATATAGCTTTTCAGCCATGACCAGTTATATTTGCTAGGTAGACACATGATTTTTTTTACTCTTTAAAATACTAATTGTTCACCTTTCCAGGTACATATATGGTCCTCGTGGTCGGGATCCCCTGCCAATCAGGATAATGACCAAAACTGAAAGCAGCATGTTGTATCCAGGAGTGGCACATTCATGGTTGTGTGATGGAAAACTTTTGCGTTTGTTAGAGCCGTTGGCTCCTGGTAACACACCATTGTTTCAGGACCAGTGGAAACGGGGTCAGCCAGTTATAATATCAGGTGTGGGACAAAAGCTCAATCCTGAACTTTGGACGCCTCAGTCCTTTTCAAAGGACTTTGGTGATATTAAAAATGACTTGATAAATTGTCTTACTGGAAATATAGTTCCAAATCAGCCAATGAGGAAATTCTGGGATGGCTTTGAAAATTATGGGAAACGACTGAAGGATGAGAAAGGTCAGCCTATGGTATTGAAACTTAAAGATTGGCCCCCAGGGGATGACTTTGCTGAAATGTTACCATCTAGGTTTGAAGATCTAATGAGTGTCCTTCCAATGGGAGAGTACACAAGAAGAAATGGGCGTCTCAATCTTGCTGGACGCCTTCCGGAGAGTTTTGTTCGTCCAGATCTGGGTCCTAAAATGTACATAGCGTATGGGTCAGCAATTCATCCTAATAGAGCTTCCACTAATCTACATTTGGATATCTCTGATGCTGTTAATGTTATGTGTTATGTGGGAGTTCCAAAAGATTCAGATTATGAAGATCACATTAAGGGTGAGTGTTTTATCTTATAAAATAATGATTTTTTTTTTTTTAAGAATTTGGTATGTTCAGTATGATTTTACTTGTCATGTGATTTTGTTCACTTATAGTGTTTCCTTATCCATACCAAACACTCTTGATATTACCTTGGTTTACATGTCTGGTCTGTAAAGCAAATTGTTTGGCACTAGTTTATCAAAGACTATGTTCTTGTGCAAAAATTACTTTGAACAACTTTACTAGTTTTGTGATTATGATTTATATAACATGGAACATAGAAAAAAACCAATGTGTAAGTAACGAAAAGTCTAGGCAATAAAAAATTGAATAGCAAATTATAGAGAGGGAATATGGAGTGGGATGTATTGAGATATTTGGGAATGGATATTTTGGCAAATGGGTCCATGAAAGATGAAGAGGAGGAGAGTGAGAGCAGTTGGTGTGTTGAGACATCTGTGGGGGGGGGGGGGTTATCTTTGGAGGAAAAATAAAATGTACTATAGTATAAGGGTACCATGACTTTTATATGGGTGTAATGCAAGGGATGTTGAATGTTGCAGTGAGGGAGGCTAGGGGCAGTGTAGATACAAAGTTTGAGATCAGTGTGTGGTGTGAATATGTAGAGTATTAGAAGCATGGTGTGGGGTCACCAAGGGTATAATTCAGAAGGCACAGAGAGGGTGGATTGGGATATGATTTAAAGGGTTTATAAATCAGGTGGAAGGTAAGAGGGGTAGGGGTTGTTTCTGGAACATTTCGAGGGAGAGGGTAAGGGAAATTTTGAATGTTAGGTTTGTGTGAACATGTTAGATCAGGTCAGACATGGTAGTTAACTCCTTCACTGTTGGTCCCGTAATATTACAGCTTGCAAGCCAGTGTCGGTCCCGTAATACTACGCCAAAATTCTAGCAGCTCCATTCTTGCGGGAGAAAGCTGGTAGGCCCACATATGAGAGAGTGGGTCTGAGTGGTCAGTGTGCACAGTATAAAAAATCCTGCAGCACGCAGTGCATGATGAGGAAAAAAAAAACTGACTGTTTTTGGTTTAAAACAGACTTTGCAGTGTATTTTCATATGGTATTTATGGTTGTATTCTTGTTTTCTTGGTATCATCTGATAGAATGGAAGATATATTACAGAAATAGAGATGATTTTGAATGGTTTATGGACATTTCCGCTCAGAGTAGTGGAAATGTTCGATTTTTCCTGATGTTCAAGTGTAAACAGATCATGTCATGCATCCAGTATACATCAGATGGTGGGTCTAATATTTTTTCACAAATGCTCTGATATTATTTATACCATTTTTACAAAAATGCAGTAGTCTGCATAACAGTTAGTCAATCTTCTACTTTTTGTGTGAATAAAAATTCAAAATGGAAAGCAAACGTAATATAAGAGGGGCCTGGAGACGTGACTAATGAACAGAGAAAATGTTATTTTAGTACCAGGAATGTTTATATTGTTACTTATGGACCCTGTTTTAAAATTGGCAAAATTACTAATTTCTGATCACTTTATTGGGTAATTGAAATTGGTAAATGGGTGGTTTCTTGTACTCGGTCAATAGAACAAATGGAGTTCTAGTGAAATGGCTATGAGTTTGGTTGACTGGAACAATGGGATTGACCAAAAATAGGGCTCAAAGTAGGTGAAATCGCTGATGCATAAATATAGTTGAGACCACTAACTTCATGAGAACATAATTCCATAAGTTTTCCATCAAATTTCATACTTTTGGTGTCATTACCATTGGGATAAGATTCTCTTTATCACTTCATAAGAAATATTTTTTTTTTTTAAATTCTTCGACACTGAGAGCAAGTTTGTGAGCAAGGGTCTTGACAGTGAAATCGTTAATGGACATGCTGTTGTAATATGAGCCAGGTAATATTTATGAAGAGATTCACAGAAACTGATTAGATAGACTAGTCTTAAAAGTGGAAAGGACATTGCCTGCACTCTGAAGGAAGGGTGAGGGTGTTGCAGTTGGAAGATCATCAAAATTGTGATATCAGCACACTTCTGACAAGAGGCCAGTTGAATGAATGATGCATTCAACTGGGTGGAGAAGGCTGATAAAGTAAAAAAAAAAAAAATGATCACAACAGTAGCAAGGTAATAATGATGATAGAAATAATGGAATACAGTGCTGAATAAGCAAATGGTTATAGGACTTTGTAAATAAAATAAATGGATATGCAAAGATTAATGTTTAACATTGCCTTGTAACAGTATTTTGACAGTGCTTTCTTAGATTTGCAGTGAATTTGTAGAGCATTAGATTTTGGCAGCATGTATTTTATCTTTCGGTACTATAAAGCGAGTTAACAAATTTAGGCAAGGAGAAGGGATCATTGTTGTAAAACTTCTCGATTGTGTTGCTTAAGATTCTTTGTATTTGATTATCATATAAGCAGACATTTGGTTATGGATGACTTTGCCTCTTATTAACAGTTTTCTGGATTATAACAAGTATTTTGTATGGATTTTTTAAGGTGGTAACTTGATATTGCTTCAATGAATGTTGTACTGTATTTGGTAAGTGCATTTGCTATAAGTAGTGTAGGTCTAGATTCTGAAAAGGACATAGCAGTAAATGCATGATTTAGTGGCAGTAAAACTTTTCATGGGTGAAATAAAACTGAGTTGAGATATCTCTTGTATTGGGGATGAATTCTTTCAAAGTAAAGATGGAGTTTAGTGGAAATAGAACTAGTTTGTGATATTGCTTGTCATGATGCCACTGTTAAAGTGATAATAAAATGATAGGTATTCTTGTATGAGAAATATGGTGGTAATGTGGAGATTGGTGATAAAGTAGGAAATGCCTATTAGAGCTGTATCGGATTTCCGTATTCATGGAACATCCGCATTTTACTGTAAACAGATATCTGCATATGCATCTGCATCCGCAGAGTAAGTAAGACATCCTCATACACATCTGTATCCGTGGAACATCGCACAATTTCTTACATCTACATTCGCATTTTACTGTAAACAGATATCCGCATCTGCAAAATAAGTAAGACATCCTCATACACATTCGCATCCTCGAATATCTAAATTTTCACGTTCGATACATCTCTAGTGCCTATACAATAAATAATGAAGATGCAGTTTTGTAAGGAACTTAATGTTGACTCTGTAATTTAATTCCATTTTCCAAAATTGTTGGCATATTTGGACAGAATCTCAGCTGTTGTTAGCAGTCAAGTGATACTTTATTTATACTGAATTACCCGCCAGGTATTCTTCCTTTTTGTATAATATTCAGTTTGTGAAAGGAAACTTTGTTACTCTGAATTCTGTCTAGTCCATTACATGATATTCCAAGAGGTGCTAAATGATATTTTTTTCTCAATGTGCAGAAGCTCTAAAGGCCATAGATGAGGCAGGATGTGATATCTTGACGCGTCGGCGAGTACGTGAGAAGGAAGAGGTGCCAGGAGCTTTGTGGCATATATATCATGCACGTGATTCAGACAAAATACGTGATTTGCTCAATAAAGTGGCCATAGAACGTGGAGATAAATTGGAGCCACACCATGATCCTATCCATGATCAAGCTTGGTACCTCGATGGCCCTCTTCGGGAAAGACTTTACAAAGAATATGGTGTTGAAGGCTATGCTATCATTCAGTGTCTTGGTGATGCACTCTTCATTCCTGCAGGAGCTCCACATCAGGTATATAATAATTTATATCATGATCATCGGTGAGAATGTTTTAAAAGTATTCATTTTTAGATAGATGTAGGCAGGGAAGATTTTTTCCAGTTTGGTTAATTCATACAGTTTTATATGTTTACAAGTGAGTTTGTATTTTCACTATATTGCCAAAATAAAAAATCAAAAGTTCATAGATACTTTGTAAATGACAAAGTTTTACTTTATCTCTTTAAAGTGCTAATGATACAGGTTTAATTCCATCTTGAATATTTTATTAATTTATTTTACAGGTTCGAAATCTGCACAATTGTGTAAAAGTGGCAGAAGACTTTGTCTCTCCGGAAAATATTTCGTACTGCTTTCACTTAACGCAGGAATTCCGTCATCTTAGTGATACACATACCAACCATGAGGATAAACTCCAGATTAAAAATATTATCTATCATGATATGAAAGACTCGATGGCCTGCCTATTGGCCACCAGTAAGGAATTACAAAAGAAGGTAGAGGTTGAGGAAGATGTAGACAAAAAAGTGAAGGAATCAGATTCATGAGAGTAGGTCAAGTGAATAGAACTTTGTTTCAATTAAATCGTGATTCTGTGCTCCTGAAAGTGTTTAGTGTTTTTCTTTGCAACTCTTGAAATTATGGAATATAGCTGTGTAGTAAGAAAGTGACTTGAAACATGGCAGTGTAATGTCCTGTAATAGACCTACCATTGCAGTGAATGAACATTTCGGTAGTATTGAAACTTGCTTTTATACGAAATGGGTTTCCTAATTTTGAGTGCAAATAATATATTCCACTTTCAATTTATAAGAAAGATATCATGGTTTGTATGGAACACAAAAAGTCCAGTTCATTTTGATGTTTATTAACAAAGACAAGTAATGTAAGTAGAAATGGTGTAATTATTTATTAATCCTATATGATGTACTAATCACAATGGACCTTATTGTTAAGGACCCACATTAATCTCTGTATCCACGGTGTACTTAAACCAGTGATGCGACCAAGTGCACAGGATTGTGTGCACGTTAAAAGCTTTGAACCAGTTATGGTTTCCCGCTTGACCCAGTGTTTACACAGCTGTGCGTGCATTTTGGTTACTGGTGTTAAGTGTTGATTCCAGCTGGGAAACCAAGTGCAACAAGTGGTGTAGAGCTGCTGTGCTAAGAGACTGGGGGGAACCCTGCTGTGACCAGGCAACTGCTCCCCCTCACCCTTCCATGCTCTTTCTTTTTATCCAGTACTTGAAATGTAACTCTGTAGCAATCTCTGTATCTGTCTGTTGCACACAACATACCAGTATACATAATAACTAGGCCTCATAAACTGGCTGAGGCCTTTATTGCATCCGTAAATGGGTGGGACTTGCCCAGCTATAACTGGTTAGTAACTGTCAAGCAGGGAGCCCAAACCAGGGGGAGGAGAGTTTTGGCTGTGCTGTTGAGTGGCAGTAATCAGCTCCACAACGACCCTCCACCTTCGCTGCTGCTGCTGCCGCCACCCCTCCACTCCCCCACCTCGCTCCCTGTCCACCTAAAACCATGTCAATTTCATTTTGTACATTGATCTCATTGTTGGTGTAAATGTGAGTAGTGTTGAGGGATGGATGTTACTTGTAGTGTGTTTCTCACATGTCATGTTGTTATATTTGTTTATTACTGAAGTCTGTGTTTTATTTGAGAAAGAAAAATTACAAAACACAAGTGATAGGCATATTGTTGCCATTGACCTTTCATTTATTAAAAATTAAAGAGAGAATAATTTATTTGCTTGTAAAGTGTGGGCGGATGTAGAAATGTACATTGATGTAGATGTGTAGTGCGCGAGGGGTGAGCAACGCCCTGAAGACTGCCCCTCACCCCGCCTCACCAGGAGGACGCAACTCTACTACTTTTTTGTACTGTCAATATGTAAACAGATCACAATTTGAATAGGAAAAATGATGCCAAGATTGTATTTCTCTTCCCCCTTATTATTTAGAAATTTGAGAAAAATTCCAGATTAATATATGCCAAAAAAAAAAAAAGCAAAAATAAGGAATGTTTAGCTGGTTTTGAGCACTCACTTCCTGGTGAAGTTTTTTTTGGTTTTGTGAGGAGTTAGATTCCTGACTAATTAAAAGCAAATATTTTTCATTTAGTAATTATAAAACATTCTTCGGTGGGATATGGCTGGTTTGTTAAAAGAAAATATTTTTGCTATGTTACTTTATTTCTGCAGTAAAGTATAACCATCTACACCACTGTGACCTTTGGCCATAATGTGTATGGAGCCACATTGAGTAATGAGGATTATCATTCATGGTGGGAATAATAAATATTGGCGGAAGGGTAGGGCAGGTTCAGTGCCTTCGTGGCTGGGGATGGGGAGGTAGTGAATTGCCTTGAGCTGCTGTATTATAGTTCACACACATTTCACAGATAATCATTGTTTAGTCATTGTGACTTGAGCCATTAAATGGGTTAGTTGAAAACTATTCTTACCCCATGTAATATTTCATAATTAGTGAGGAAAGTCATTATTAACTTTGCTGCTTTATAAGCTGACCTGGAGCAAAATTTCATTTTTTTTTTTTTTTTTTGACTAGGTTTTGGCCCACCTTGTATACTGTATTGACAACTGCTTTGTGGGCCATGCCTTGCTCCATTTTTGCTTAGTGTGTTAATGTGTGTTAACTTGTACATGACTCCTGGTCTGTTTGTTACATACTCTTCTGTGGCCCTTGCTTTGGCCTTAAATTATTTTATGTCATCCTTGTGTCCCTTGCTTGCTTTTATATGACTTGCATATTTACATGACCTTGCACATTTACATAACATTTGCATATTTTTATGACACTTGCATTTTTAGTGACCCTTATTTTGTGTAGCCTTTGTTTTGTGGTGCTTGCATGTAACCCTTATTTTTGTATTTACCTTGCTTGTTTGCATAACCATTGCTTTTGCATGGCACTTACTTATTTTATATTTCCTTCGTTTATCTTGTGACTTGATTATTTTACACACACACCACACACACACACACACACACACACAGCATGCATGGCACACACAAATAGGTGAGTACACGAAAATATACATACTACACAAACACAAGAACATACTGTATGCACGACACACTACACGAACATACTACACACACACGAGGAATAAGCAGTGTTTTTAAAAGAATAATGAGTGTGTGTGGAGGTATTTGTCCCTGACACTGAAATAGTTATGCCCATTTTCTATCAGCACGAACTGCATCAAACATGCTTCCCTTAAGTCTTGTTTAAGATTCATTTAGGTTTTGATGCATATACATTTTCTTTTTCAATGGTTTTGGTGGCATATTGTAAGCACAAAAGGTACATTTACATTACGTAAATTTAACCTTGGATAATCCATTTAAAGTCAAACACTGTATATGTTGGTTTAAAGCTCACTACATCCAGCTCGGTCTAGTAAGGCAACATGAACCATCTCCACACAGTTCTAAGGAGTTGGACCTGTGCTCCAATTCTTTGAATAGTTTGAATGCTCTCCAATCTTCCAGGCACTCTATGACCCCCTATGGGCCAAACAGCTGCATTTTTGGATAAACATTACAAGGCAGGGTGTTTCAAAGAGATGGGCCCAATTTCAAAACTCCTTTTCAAACACCCTGTATGTCAGATTTTTTTTTAACCCATTAACTGTCTAAACGTAGATCTTTATTTTATTTTTCCTGCCTACAAATTTGGCACAATTGGCCTGAGATGGCATGGAATGGGTCTCAATACTTGGTGTGCACAGTATTAAAAAAAATCTGAGACCACTTAGTATCTTGTGGGAGTACCGGTTCAATTGAGTGCCAGCTAGAGCAAACAGCACAGCAAACACCAAGGGTTCTGATGTCATGTCATATTAACACACCCCTTTTAACCCCTCAAGTGTCCAAGCATAGATCTACATTCTCTCACCCAGTGCTCCAAATTTTTTTTTTTTTTTAATAGAAAACATTTTTTTACATAATGAAAAAAAAATCTAGAGTCAGTACTTGCAGAGATGCAAGGCCACAAAGTTGGCGCCTGTCGCTCACCTGATCGGCAACATGAAGCACTGCCGCTTGCAGAAGTGTTGACTATATAACTTTTTTTTTTTTTTCTCATTTTTTTTAATTTGTATATTTTTTATGTTTTGATAATTACAATTTGTAGTTGTTCTTGTGATTTCATAGCTAGTCTTTGTTCTGACACTTACATTAGTTACTGAAACAGTACTCAAATAGTCACAAATACAGTGACAGGTGAACACTTAGAAATATATACATAGTATTTATAGGTCCCAGCAATGTTTTGATAAGTGAGAGTATATAATAATAAGTTCCCTTGAAGCATGATGTAAGACAAGTGTCAGTCCACTGCTGACAGTGCAGTAATGGTGACATTTGATGAGCCTTGGCTTTATTTGTTTTCACTTTTACATATAAACATGTCTGTCTAATTCTCTCTATCTCTGTCTGCTCGTCTCTCTGTCTCTGATGAGTGTCAGTCCACTGCTGACAGTGCAACTGTGGTGACATTTCATGAGCATCCACTGCCTTGGCTTTATTTGTTTTCACCATTACATATTAACATGTCTGTCCAGCTCTCCATCCATCTATCTGTTTGTCTCTGCTTATCTGTCTCTGTCTCAGAGAGAGACACTCGTGAACCAACAGGTATTACAGTGCAGTCACGTCTGATCCCTCAGCAAGTGTAAATATGTATTATTTGTCAGTAATGTTTACTATGCATTTTGTATCTACAAGTACAGTATAGCACTTTGCCTGGATGTTTTGGGTTATCCTAGGTAATTTACACTATAATTGTATTTGTGTACCTGTGAAACAGACAAGAGATAGAGACAGCCAAAGTCAATCATCCAGCCAGTCGACCAGGCAGCCACCCATCCTGCTGAACACGTATTACACATTCCAGAGTTTTCTTTTTACTTAGGACAGTCTGGCAGGATGACACTACCAGTGGTACGAAAATGTTGCACCTAGAAAATGTACAGAGAACTTTCACGGCGCGCATAACGGAGATAAAACACCTCAATTACTGGGAGCGCTCGAGGTTTCTAAACCTGTATTCCCTGGAACGCAGGAGGGAGAGATACATGATTATATACACCTGGAAAATCCTAGAGGGACTAGTACCGAACTTGCACACGAAAATCACTCACTACGAAAGCAAAAGACTTGGCAGACGATGCACCATCCCCCCAATGAAAAGCAGGGGTGTCACTAGCACGTTAAGAGACCATACAATAAGTGTCAGGGGCCTGAGACTGTTCAACTGCCTCCCAGCACACATAAGGGGGATTACCAACAGACCCCTGGCAGTCTTCAAGCTGGCACTGGACAAGCACCTAAAGTCAGTTCCTGATCAGCCGGGCTGTGGCTCGTACGTTGGTTTGCGTGCAGCCAGCAGCAACAGCCTGGTTGATCAGGCGCTGATCCACCAGGAGGCCTGGTCACAGACCGGGCCGCGGGGGCGTTGACCCCCGAAACTCTCTCCAGGTAAACTCCAGGTAATGGGTTATTATTGAGGTTTTTGATACTTCCTCAACCACTTGTGGCCACATTCACCTCAAAGCCACTAGACTTGGGGGTCAACATCACTTTCCTCTTAAAATGGGAGTGTTAATACTACATGACATCAGTGAATCCCAGGTGTTTGCCCTGCTGTTTGCTCTAGCTGGTACTAAATTGAACTGGTGCTCCCACAAGGTCCCAGATTTTTTTTAATACTGCACACACTGTGTGTTAAGACCCATTCTATGCTGACCAGGCATCTTGGGACAATCATGCCAAATTTGGAGGCAGGAAAAACAAAACGTAGATACACGTTTGGAGAGATAGAAGTAAGAACGTAGATCTACATTTGGACAGTTAAGGGATTAAGAGGAAAGTGATGTTGACCCTGAGTGGTCGCAAAAATATCAAAAACCTCGATAATAACCCATGTGCAACACCCTTTCAATTTTGGTACCACTGGTAGTGTCATCCTGCTAGAATGTCCTATAACCCTAAGTAAAAAGAAACGACTCTGGAACGTGTAATATATGTTCAGCAGGCTGGCTGTATCTATCTCTGTCTTTCTGTCTCTGTCTCACAGGTACACATACGTAAATACAATTATACATAGTGTAAATTAACTAGGATAACCCAAAATATCCAAAGTGCTATACTGTGCTTGTAGATATAATGCATAATAAGTACGACTGGCTAGTAATATGCATTTTCACTTGTTCAGGAATTAGACATGATCGTGTGTAATACCAGTTGGTTCATGAGCAACTCTGAGGTGAGAGATAGAGAAGCAGACAAAGAGAGAGAGACTCACACACAGGCAGACAGAATTGACAGACACAAAAAGGAACGCAGAAAGATACACACAGGTAGACGGAAAGAAAGACAGACACACACAGGCAAAGACAGATAAACAGACATAGCTAGACAGACATGTTTATGTGTAACAGTGAAAACAAACAAAGCCTGGGTTCCATGCAGCAGTGCACAATCATCAAGTGTCACTCAACTACTAACCCTGTCATTAGTTTAGTAACACTTGTCTTAACACCATGCTTCAAGGAGTTTCATATATACTCCACCATGTCTAAAACATTGACCTGTTAGTGTGTTTGTGACAATTTGAGTCCTAATATTAGTTGTAGACAAGAATTGGCTATAAATCAAAGAAGTATTAAGATTGTAATATATCAGAACTAAAAATAGTTATTTGAAATTATACTAAAATGAGAGAGAAAAAAGATATATCGGCAAAACACATTCTGAAATAGCGGAAGATATGGAACTCCATGTTGCTGTCAGGTGAACATCCAGCACCAACTTCACGGTCATATATCTTGGTAAGTACTGGTCCTAAAAAATTTTTTTTTTTTTTTTTTAGTTTTATTACACACAGAGCGGTGGGTTGAGCGAA